GGTGATCTTAAAGGTTTTTTTCAACCAAAACAATTAAATCAAATTATTTCCTTGCATTATATATTCTCAGGACAGAAACAGACAATTTTGCAGAACTTTTGAATGCAGCATAGCAGTGTTCTCATCTTCAGAGCACAGTGCTTGAGTTCAGCCACTGTGCCCAGCCTTGGCACAGAATTCAGCACTACAACGTGCTCGTCTGTGACAAGCCTGTCACCAGGGCTCTGAGCACAGAGCACTGCTGTGCTGGAGAGCCCTCACTGTGCTGATTCTGGAACTGAAGGCAGACACAGCTTGCTCAGACCTATCTCCCATTGCTTAGTACAAGCCACCCTATAATCAGCTAACTTACTTTCAAGACTCGCTAAGTTCAAAGACCTTTTCACTGGGATTTATAGAAAACTACTGGACACAACCACCAGCTCTCTTACTCATGCACTGCTGCTTCTGGCTGCCCAATCCTCAGGTAGTAAAGTCCACGATGAAACCAGGCCCACTTTGCCTTACTGGTGTTCTGCTTGTCAGTTACTTCCTTCAGGATTGACAGAGCAGTGTCCTAACAATGTACCAAAAATGCCAGGTTAGGAAACAGATATGTGCAGCTGTAAAGAACAAGGTTACTGTGAAAGAAGAACACTGCTAGTCCAGCAAGCCAGTAAACTGCCTGATCTGTTAATTACTGCAAGGAAGAATTGTTTTAGAGACTTTTTAGAACTGGCAGGTTGAGTGGCAGATTTCAGCAGGAAATTATTGCTTCTAGACATGATTTTATCCCAGGTACCTGTCTTCACAAATAGACAGTAGCTTCCTGCTGGCTTGTAGACTATTTTTAATATTTTTTGGTAAACCAGAGAAGCACACAAGCATTGGCAGCAAGTCAGATACTTAGACTGACTTTCTAGATGTTCCAGTAGAGTCTGTTGAAGTATGGTTTCCATTTGCTCTGTAACATCACAGGCTAAGAACTTTTTATATAATGCTATAGAAGAAACATTTTTAAGGTGTTCTGGTGATACTGCACTCTTTTCCTGAAAGCAGCAAGGTGGAGGATGGAGAAAAGAAATGGAGCAAGTGAAACATGAAAAGAAAACTAGCTTTTTGTGCATGCTCCCTACAGAAAAAATCCTTCATCTACATCACATATGTGATGACTCCAGCTTTATGCTAGGCACCCCTTCCCTTCTCCCCAGACAGATTTAATTTGGAATTGGAGCATAAAATTGAAGCAGGTCCAACTATGAAAGCTGCTAAGCAAGGACAGAACATCTGTTTTCAGATCTCACTCTCAAAATACAGAGGTGACCTGGAGAGATTCCTCAGAGAGTAGGATTAACAGAAGAACAAACCAGCAGCACCCCAAAACCCTGCATGTACAATACCATGTCTCCCAGTTCCTCGCTCAAGTACACAGCTGCTGCTGCAGCTTCTTCATCAGCTCCATCTAGCTCAAAAGCCTTTTTATAGCAGCCACAAGCTCTGCTTTTGTCTCCAGCCACGTCTCGGTAGTAGTGACCCAGGTAGAGAAAGGCAGTTCCCAAGCAGCTGTCCAGCTTTGCAGCCTGCAGGGAGATGCAATAAAACAGCCCTTTGAAGGGTTATACTGATGGATAGGGACTGTGGTAACTACTTGTCCAGTCTCTGCCTACCAGTTTATTCAGGCTCCCTCTGTGATAAATCTGACTAGTCTCAGATTTCAGACAATACTTGAACTTCAAGTACCTGCAGAATTTGCTCCAGGCCACATGACACAAAGCATTTTTGTCCATGAAGTACCAACAAGCTCATTGTACAAGACAATTCCTTTCTACTTCCCATCACTTTCCTATTCTATTCCACTTCAACACTCACACTCTTACCATATTACATCAAAACTAACTCCAGCTTTTTCTAAACTTAAGTTCCTTCTCACGTATGCTCAGGAGACTTGTTATGAAACCCACTGCCCCAGGCAGCAGAAAACAGCTTGACAGTAATGATTAAAAAAAGGTTATGTAAAATGGTTTAGAACCAAAAGCATCATAAACTTCAACTACAGTCTCCAGTACACTCGACTGCTGCTGACTTGTAAACAGTAGGCAATGACTTGAGCTGACAACACTTACCATAGTTACATGGTGAGTTTCAATATCTAGAGTCTTATTTTGTGTACTTCTAGATCTCCAATAAAGATTAAAGAGCACAGAGTACAGCAGGGTGGGATGGGAAGGGACCTCTGGAGATCATCTCCTCCACCCCCCTGCTCCAGCAGGTCACCCCCAGCAGGGTGCCCAGGGTCACAGCCAGGAGGGTTTGGGATCTCTCCAGAGCAGGAGACTCCACAGCCTCTCTGGGCAGCTGCTCCAGGCTCTGCACCCACACAGCAAACAATTTTTACCTCATGTTCAGAAGGAACTGATTTCAGACAAAATCTTTTGCATTTGCATTCTTACCTGTGCTCAGTGAAAAAGCCACAACCACTAAACCCCCAAAGATCAGAAAAAGTTAAACTGTATGGTTTTGCAGACTTACTTGCTTGGACAGACACTGAAACTAACATCATTCTTATCTTTCTTCCTTCCTCTATTTCCTTCCAATTTGATTTTTGCCCTCCCCATTTCAAAACACATCCAAAGACCTATGCTAGTTCCCTAGAGTCCTTGACTTCAGAGCCCTCACGGAGGGAAGACTGAGAGAATCCCCACTATGTTTGGCTAAATCAAAGGCCTCAGCTATTAGGTGGAAAGAGGAAAACAAAAGCAGGGAGATTCCAGGAGGCTGCACAGCTCCCTGCAGAACTGAACTTGGGTTTACAGGCTTTGGAGGCTTGTAAATGGTGACAAGCAGAATATTCAAGTCTGTGGTTCCAATCAGTGTATTTTCCATACCTGGCTTGTGAGATAGGAAAACACTAATTCTACATGAAAGGGTAAAGCAACCTTTACCTTCAAGAACTGAGTGTGTGCTTTTCCTTTGTCTTTTTTTGTCTCATCACTCATGAACCAGTATGTGAGCCCCAGGTACTGATGATACTCTGCAGTTTCAGCCTTTCTTTCAATAGCATTTAGAAAACTAAATAAAAGGAAATGAGGTTAGATCAGAGAAATTCTCAACAGCTGCAAAACACAGTATTCTCTTCTCCCCCCATATTTCCCTGCTACAGGAAAGAAAAAAAAAAAATCTACCTTTTTTCTGCCTGCTCATAGTTCTTCTGGGAATAATGGATGAAACCCTCTAGAGCATGGGACTCAGCCAGATCAGGGTGGGACAGCAGAAGGTCGTGTGAGATCTGCAAAAGGATGTCATTCTTCCCCAGTTATTTCCTCTATGAAACCAAGAATTCTACTCAGCAGACAGGAAGAACAGCACTAACCTTGGAAGCCTGATCCATTAAACCTTTGCTTAGATAAGCCCGAGCTCTGATAGCTGAAACCACTGGATCACTGCTCCCATCCACAATCTGGGAAACCAAGGAATAGACAAAACCAAGTTATTCTCTCCCCAGATTAAGAAATCAAAGGTGTTAAAAGCAGGCAGACTGCATGAAGGTAAAAGAAAACATTGATACAAAACCTTTGAAAAGCCTCAGACAGAAAAACTTTAATGGAGGACAGGTAGAAGACTGCAGAGAGCAAGAACAAAGGTACACAGGTCTGAAGAGTAAATAATGAAACTGAGACAAAAAGGAGGGGAAGCAACTTCTACTTAAAGCTTAACCATCCAGTCTTTAAGGAATATGCCCTTGCTCATGACAATGACAAGTGAAAGGACATGGGCAGTAGGATCATGACAACTCAAAGAACAGCCATAGAACTATCAAGAACTCATCAGCACTGAGCAAGACCAGACAAGGTCAAAAGTGATAGTTTCTAAAGCAAGAACTGTGAGAAAAAAGGAGTTCTAGTAAAGCTTAAAAAACAAAAAAAAAACCCAACCCAAACCAAACCAAAAAACAAACAAACAAACAAACAAAAAACAAAAACCCAAACAAACAGAGAAAGAAGCACTTGGATTCTATCATTGCTGGTAGAAATTGTCCAAACCACACAGAATGTAAAATAGAGACAAGGGGAGAAATATGGAGCTTGAGATTTTAGTGCAGAAAGATGATGGCACCTTTCCAAATTAAAAGAAATACACATTTTAATCAGTGAAAATACCTGGTCAAGGGTTTTAATGGCTTCTTCAGCAGCATCAGCAGTGGCTATTTTAATCAAAGCTTCTGCTTTCAACTGAAGGATAAGGTTTTTCCACCGAAGACTAGAACCCTTGGGAGTTCCAAAAGCTTCAAGAGCTGTTGACAAGAGAAAAGTTCCATCAAGTGAGAACAGAAAAAGGAACCCCAGAGAGCAGCACTGTTTCCAAGACTTCAACAACTCTTTAGGACAGATTTGTGGGAGCATTCCTTTCCACAAATGCATGATTTGACATTTAGGACTACGCAATTTTATTATTAATTTAATAATTTAATTTAATATTTACCAGGTGTCAAAACACCCAGTTACCCACTCTGGTAATCACAGAATCACAGAACAGTTTGGGTTGGAAGGGACCTTAAAGATCATCTAGTTCCAACC